GCCGCGCAGGGGAATGGGGGAGGGAGGGTTTATTTGCCTGGGGGAGCCGTACCGGCGGAGGGGGGGGAGACCGGGGAAAGGGCGGGGAGAGCCGGGGGGGGAGGGGAAGAGGTAGAGAGTACACCAAGAGGATGTAGGGTTGAGGAGTGGTGAGTGGAAACAAGTGGCCGTAGCGAGGGCGCGGATGAGGGGGAGGTGGGCACCCAGAAGGGGGGGCCGTACTCGAAGGTGCGCGCGTGGTGCAGGATTAGGTTCTTCAGGGTACGAGACCGGGTTTTTCGTGGTGCGGCGTCTAGGTGAGATAGGATCTTGGGAACCAGCCGTCTTGGTAGAGCGGTATTGGGGGGGCGCCGAGCTGGCTACCCTCCCCCCCTGTGGTTTCCGGAGGCTTGATCGCCCGGCGTTGCCGCAGGGTCTTCCCGTTTGAGTACTTTTCAATTTAGACCCAGTGCTGTGGAAGGGCGCGGACTTGTGCGGTGTTACCCCCTCGACGGGGGCTATCTCCCCTGGACTAGCCCAGGGAGGGAGAGGCGGAGGAGGGTAGTAGTCTCAGGAGGCTGTTTGGCGTCTTGTGGTGTGAGCTCTATGCGCTCTTTTTTGCGTGAGGATTTTTGAGCTTGGTGACCTCCCCAGCCCGGGAAGACTCGTCGGGCTCCCGGTCGCCCAAGTCCTGGTAGCGAGCTCTCTGAGATGCTCGGTTCGTTCGGTCGGCAGGTAGAGCCCCCCAGTTGCGACTTCGTTTAGGTTAGGAGACCAACGGGCATAGATCCCGTCTAGTTGGAGCGCCAAACAAGCGCTGTTGCGTGCCGGCCGTCGTTTCCCGTGCGGCCTGACCCGGGGGCGGAGTGCATGAGACTAACCAGCCGTATGCACCCGCCCCCCGCGCTGTGCTTCGGCCCTGGGCCCCCGGCTTTTCAGCCCACAGTGTAATCAACGTCATACATACATACATACATACATACATACATACATACATACATACATACATACATACATACATACATACATACATACATACATACATACATACATACATACATACATACATACATACATACATACATACATACATACATACATACATACATACATACATACATACATACATACATACATACATACATACATACATACATACATACATACATACATACATACATACATACATACATACATACATACATACATACATACATATATACATATACACATACAGACAGACAGGCATGATGCACTCCTTGCAGGTATGCCTTATCGTGACCAACTTCATCTACTCGTCAACTCGCAGCTCCCAACCCATTGTCGTACCGGCAGCCATCAACATGTCGGACTACTCCACTACGGTGACGCCGGGCAGGTACGACAACCGGGAATGGAGTTGAAGGCGGGGAGGGGAGGGAAAGGGGAAAGGGGAGGGGGAGGGGAAAGGGGAGGGGAAAAAAGTTCACGAAGTGGAGAGAAGGGGGGAACTGCACCTTCAATACACATATATCCACGTGGTGATGCACACTGGGGGGGTTTAGGTGTGTGTGTGTGTGTTGCGACACGTGTGTTTTGGGGTTTAGCTTGTGTTGACCGGGCGTGTGTGTGCGTGTAGAACTAGCTAGTGATGGAACAACTGCCATAGACGGCACGTACGACACTATTTACAGGTGCCAGTACCACATTGGACGACATATCGTACAGAACGGGCACTTAAACCCCCCTCCTTTCTCTATCTCCCGGACCGTACACTGGGACATGCATCTCGACATCTGGACGTCTATACGGTCGTACATCGCAACAATGTACGACGACGATGCGTACATCCGCATATATATTATACATATCATTTTATATGATGTGCATATATTATATTTTAAATAATATATTCATATTTTAAATATATTCATATATTCATATTTTAAATATGAATATATTCATATATTCATATTTTAAAATATGAATATATTCATATATTCATATTTTAAAATATGAATATATTCATATATTCATATTTTAAATAATATGAACGTCAGCTCGCTGGCATATCAGAACCTCTTCTACGGCGGCTATACGTACACTACAATAAATTCGTACTATGTGGTGGATAACGTCGTATCGGATCAGTGTCTGGAAGAGCGTCCCGGTACGGATTGCGTCACTTTGTTGCTCCAGCAGCTGGATAGTCAGGGCCAGGGGCAGCAGAGGAGCAGTACGCAGCAGCAACAGCAGGAGAAGGCCACTGGTGGTGGTGGCAGTAGCCATGAGCAAATGGGGGTAAGGCACGAGGGGGGGAGAGAGGGGGGGGAAAAAGGGGGGGGA